GTACAGTTAATTATGTATAAAGACCACCTTCAGATGTACCATATATAATAAATTGGTTTACTATATTTTTTGGAGTACCTTCATTTAAGACCATTGAAAGAGGTAAACTAATGATTACCTCTAAACTTTTATTACATTTATTCAAATAAAGGCAGTTTTACTTATCCATTGCTCAAGGAATATTCAAATAAAGGCAGTGCTATTGATGGACTGTAGTGTTCAAAATAGTATTTTGTGAAATTTATACACATGACTCCACTAGTGCAAGAAACAATTATTTCTGATAATATAGGAAAAGAGTAGATAAGTAGTCTTGGTAAAACTCCTTAGTGACTAAGCATTTGTGGAGCCATTTAATTTTATATATAATGTATAAAGTAAACTCAGTGCACATGCTATTCCTGGCAGCAATGGGTTAAACCTGGCACTATAAAATCTATTGAATATGGAGTGCTACATAAATAACATCTTTAATATTAATTTCAAGGCAAACCACTTTCCACTCTTGTCTTGAAACAGAATATATACAATTAACTTTCTCTTGTGCTATTACCTTGACTTTCACAGAACAAGAATCTCAAGATATTTTATTCTAACATGCAAGAAAAGCCTTCAAATATAATGTCAAGTACATAAGTTTGATACGGAAAAGAACTGCAACTTTTTTTCTTCTTCCTTCTCTCTCGAACTGTAATGCAGTTTCACCTTCCAGAGGCATATAACCTTGTCACACAAGGACAAGGTTACATATATTAAAAAAGTTAACGTTCATTTAATGGCAAGATCATTTATAAAAATAAAAAAAAATAAAAAAGCATTAAGCTGTATGATCTTGCCATTAAATGACCTTTTTCAAATAAGAGGAGTGAAACAAGGATTGGAATGGAACTTTATTTCTTACATTAAAATAATAGTTGGCACATTTCTAATGGCATCAGACATTTTCTAGCCAGAAAGTAAGTTCACAGTAATATAAATGAGCTAAACAAAACATTTTAAAAACAAGACTCATATTCTTGTAACCCATGATTATCTTACTAAAAGATGATTATTAATATAAAGTCAGTCATAATTAATCTTTACAAAGCTTTGTCTAAATTTATAAGTATCAAACACAAATAACTCAATTTTCTTCATTTGCAAAAGTGCATCAAAAAGAACCAAAAAATTTATATTGGGAGCAGAATTTAAACAATACTTGATTAATCTTACACTTGAATTTAAATCAAATAGCACAAAAGCAATATCAAAATGAAAGAAAATCACATAAAACAAAATAAAGACTGATGCCATTTTTTGTTTTTCCTGTTGAAAGACGTACCAGCTTTTTCCAACAGTAAAAGGCAATATAACAAAATGAATCTTCACCTATACACAAAATAAAGCTTCCATAACTAAAAGTGGGGGGAAAAAATCACTTACACTATTTCCCTCCTCATAAACTTAAGGGAAATGCATACCTTATGTCCACAAATTATCAGCTAAAATCATTACTTCTTCTTCTGACCTCTCTTATGAGATGGAGCATTCCAACTATTGCCTGAAAGAAAATTTGATGATTTTTTTAATGAATGACATCCCCGAATAGCTGTTTCTGAAGACATTTCCAGATGATCAGTGAGCATAACCTACAAGTGATGCCAGAGTCCAAAAGACTACTGGCTTAACCAATCCATTAATCTATTGCTTGCCGTCACTTATCATGATGAGGCACAAGCCTCTGCATGAAAGATTCTAATAATCACATTTTTTGAGAAGGAAAATGATAGTAAGAATATGAAAATATAATGATATTTTAAATATCTTTTTATAATAATTTCTTTATGACCCTACACCATCAAGCATGCCCATTCTGTTTTCTAAAGTACCGAAAATTCTTTACAACTTGCTAACAACGGCTATCTTAAGTTCTCTAATTTCACTAGATGCTAACATATATTCTGAAAAAAAAAAAAAACAGCAATCAAATTCTAATATTTCCAGCCATATTAGAAAACATCCCCCCCAGGGCAGGCTCTTCCCAGAACCACTTCTCCCACATTTTACCTAATTATTAAAATTTTGCAGGTGTTGCTCCACCCAAGGGATCACACAATAGTATGGAAACAAATGCAGGACAGCTAGGAGTACCCTAAGCAAGCCTCCCTCCCCCCCAATGATAATTAAGTATATATTCATATGAATGCGAGCATTACATCACAATTATATTCAAATGCTATTTAGAATATATAAGCTCTTAACTTTCTATACAACCTAAATATCAGAATGTTTCATTGATTGAAAATTTCATCAATAACCTAAGCTTCAATAATATCAATTTAATGCACATAATCCCTAGACAATCTACCTATTCCAATATCTATATTACTATCTGCTTAGGACGATTGGTTATCATCCACCGCCAGTGAAATTTTGTCATCTCTAGTCTTTACAAACAAATGAATTGGCCTCAGCAGTTTAATGGTGCAGGTTCGGAGTGTGGGGCTCCCTGATCTACAATCCTTACCTGAAAATCCATTCCTTGCTCCCAAAGCAGGGAAGTCGTCTTCACACGAGGTGTCTACACTTGAAGCAGAGAAGGAGGCTGCCAAGTTGGGTGCTTTCGGAGAAGAGGAAGCAACTGCATTACTCCAAGATCCTTTGGGTCTGACTGGAGCTCTTGCTGGAGCTCCTGCTGGGGCTGCCTCAACCTAGAAACTTGATCTTGATAATCATTCTTGGAAATGCTAATAGGTTAAGCTATGGTAAAGTACAATCATAAAAAACTCGGTATGATGGTTATGTTTTTTTATCCATTAATACGGTCGTGAAATGCTCTACTGTGTTTTTCTTTACTCGGTGAAAGTTACTTAGACATATGAAACAAATTTGAGAACACATAACTAGTTGGATACAAAACCTTTGTCTTCCTTGTGAAAGAAAATCCTACATCATTTTGTTCAGGCTTGGGTTTATTCTGCACTCCTTTGCCTCTATTTCCAGAAGAATTAACCTGCAAATGCACATGTACAACATACATATATTATGAATATACTACTAAGATTTAAACAAAATTCAAATAATCTCAGAAAATAAAGATAAAAGATGTACCGGGGAACAAAAGCCACAAGATATGGACGTTTTCTGTTAATTAATCAAAAGGAATATGTTACTTGCAGATCACATACCATTTGCCATGGCTGGGAAGAGGCAGCGGCACCATCTACATAGGATCTGTCTACTCTAGAATTATTAGTCCCACGACTTTCTAAAGAGCAATCCTGTAATTACAAATGTTTCATGAATTCATTTTTATTAGTTTATATATAAAAAAAAAATCAAAAGTAAATAATCCATTCCCTAAGGCAATTTTGAAAATACATTTTTACTTGTAAAATCAATTTTACAAGTGATAGTCTGAATATTAAATACAGGGAGTACATTAAGAATAGAAAAAAAAAAATCAGAACTATAACTAAGGATGTCAACTATTTTCCTACCAGTACTTACCAAAGCAAGTAAGACTAAAATGCATCAAATATTACCTTAAATGTGTGTCTGGGAACATCTACAACAGTGCCAAAAGCTGGGATGGGCTGAGGTAGATGTTTACCCTCCTGTGGCTGTATACCAAAAGTGTCTAACAGTTTCATGTTATCGCACATGTGAAATACCCATCGTTTTGCGCAAGACAAAGAGCAGTATCGACCTGCATCCTTTTGGTATGTCTGGTGCCACTATAAAAAGAAAAGAAAATGGAAAAGTTGAGACAATCAAGCAAAACAAATACACCAATGGAGTCAAAATGAAAACAAAACTCAAAATACCACACAAAAGCTACATATGGGTATCACTTTCTCATTACATGCAAATTCATCAAATTACTGAACCATAACTTACTCCACATGGCAGGGATGGGTGGTAATCCAAGCTACAGTGTGTCAGCATATCAGTAGCAATACTCAAGGGTATGGGATTGTCAACAAAAGTCACAGAGTATAAATGTTGGAACAGCTGGTCCAGGGAATATACATTGAAGTAATTTGGTCCTGTTCACAGCACAAGGATAAACAAATAGGGGTTAAACATTAGGACACATCATGCATCAGTCTGTGAAATGTAGTGAAGCAAAAAGTAGAAAGATGACTAATTTTCACTCAAAAAAATCAAATCATAAGTCAAGTAATTACTTTAAAAGACTTCTATTTTCAAGATGGAAGATCAGCTTAGGAGATAAGAAATAAAAAGGTTAAAGGCATGAATATTTTGATACTCATAAACATGCAATAATAAATTACTTATCATATCAACCAAAAAAGTGTTATGCAAAGTTATGTAATAAAAAAACTTTTCAATATTAAAAAATGCGTAAACTGTGAAAAACACCATCTTATCTAAGCAAAATAGACAATTACATCTATGCTTTGAAAACAAAAATATAATAAAACAAAATATAATTTTCAATCCAGATGCAAAGAGCATGAAATGGAAAGCACTACACACAACCTGAATGATCATACCACAAGCATCATAATTGTACTGCATATAAATAAGTTCACAAATTTTATATTTCTTAAGTAAAACTAGAAAAAGTTACCACATATTTCACTAAGGATTGCATCAGCCTGCGGCATTTCCTCTTCCAAAGTGTATAACGGTGGCAGCCTATTACTCTCCTGCCAAAAATAAGAGACAGCATTAAAAAACAGTTACATATCAAGTCTCACGCCAAGAACATTTAACAAGCCGAAAATTACAAGAAACCTCTAAAAGAAATTGCCTTCAGTATGAGCATCTGATACCTTTGAAGCGAAACTGCCATAAATTTAAATATCAAAATATATGGAACATATAATATAACAAAGGTCACATAAATCCAGAAGCCCCTCTAAAAACACATAATAATAATAAAGATAACAATAACAATAACGAAAACAGCGATGATGATAACATTATTAATAATCCTCATCATCATCAATAAAATTCATCATCATTATCATCACAATAATTCTTCATCATCA